AGCAACAACGAGGTGCTCAGTATCATGCTGCTGCCACAGGGGCCAGACGAGGCCTTCACCTTGGGCTGGAAGAGCGGAATCGGCTCTACCGTGTGTTGAGCGATGCCGCCCAAATCATGAAGCTTGTCAGTGGTCGACGATCACATGGATCACGTGTGCCCGTGATGGCATCTCGCCATGGAGAATGCTGGCACTACGAGACCCGCTGACCAAGTGGTGGATCACAGCCGCCTCTGGCTGCGTGGCTGCGCATATTGCGCAGATCCACGATGCCCGCTGGATAGAGTCAACTAAGTGTTTGGTGGGAGCCTCAGGGATGAACCTGAGGCATGCCTGGCCGATTACAGCGGCCTGTGAAAGACCTTTCGGCTATAGCACCACCCGTGTGAAATGCACGCCGCGCATTAGGTTTGACCATGTTTTTACCTTGCCCACTGCAGGGTGGGCTCATGAAACAAAAAGCCGGCTCGGTCCGCGCCGCGTCGTTGCGCCACTCAATTCGATTGTCGTGTCGTCGCCTTCCTTGCTTCGACTTTGCACACGTAAACAAAACACACACACACACACACACACACTTCGTGGACTTCGTGCACCACCAGTGTTTCTGCACTTGCCGTTAATTGAGTGGCTAAGTGATACTAAGTGCGTTGATTTGCAGGGCTGTGGTGGGATTTTGCATGCGCTGACCCGGAAAAGTTTCCCGCAGAAGCATTTCGACTGATCTGGTGGGCGTGGAAGGCTGCTTCCGAGGTGCGTTCTCGCTGCAGTGCCGCGGTTACTTTCCCAGTTTGAGTTCACTTTTCATGGCACTCATGGTAGATTTCACCTTTCCTGATGGTGCTCAGTTGAATTTAGGGTTGGTAAAACTGAAATGAGTTAAATGTTAAATGCAATGTTGGTGGCGGCCGATATGGTCACATGGTTGCATTCTTCTTGAAGGCTCAATTTCCCTGACGGAATCTTCAAGTTCCAGAGTTAGTGGCAGGCACAATTTGTTGTGTTTCGTCAGCTTAATTCTCTCCCTTTCCCAAATCTCCTTCTCCTAAAAGGCCTCCTCTCTGGACAAGCCTACTGCTCTAGACTCTAAATGCTGCATCCTTTGTCTGTGCAAAACATTTCTGCCCTGTATAGCAGTCATGCAAACCTTCTTTCAGTACATCACACCTTCTGCTTTGTAAAACTATTCTGCCCTGCAGAAAGAAGTCATCCTTCATCCTCTTTTGTTTCTTACAACACCTCCATGGCAGCTCTCTTACCAAATTGAACTGCAGGTCTCGGAGAGAAAGGAGCGACACATATCCACCATGCCTTCCAAGACCGTGGATGGTGCGCGCCACCAAACCTCTGCACGACTTCGTACGAGGTACAGCGATACACAAAGGCACAAAGGAAAACAAGTGCGAGTTGACAACTGGGTGAGCAACAAGCAACCTCGCTGAATTATTGGTAGCTCGCCACAGCTATCGATTCTGGTAGCTTGCTACATTGCTTCACAAGGTATTGTCTTTCGTCTCAAGGAAGGTCCAAACATCACTACCAACAACCAAGTAAGTCCAACACAACTTACTGTTGAGTTTCAGGGTGTTCAAGGCTTGTGATGTACAGTTTCAGGGATTTCACAATGTCATATTGTTTACAGGATTTCAGGCAACCCACAACAAAGGAAAGGGGTGAACATCCAAAATCAAGGTTCTTGCATCAAGAGTTTTGCCTGCGGCTCAGTTTCCATGCATTTTGCATCGTGTCTATTGATGCATCCTTCCTATTTGCATGCGGATATAGGGGAATTATGTTCGATGCGCCTCGCACACAAATGTCCATAGGAGCAAGCTTGCTGAATCTAAGGAAGCGGCTTGCTCCTTTCAAATCTGCTAAACCTTGAAGCAAGAAGCAAGGAATTACGCAAAGCAAATGAAGTTGTCCTCTTTAATCGCTGCAAGGGTTTTGCTGGTTTTGCTCAGTGCTTGGCTGGCAACCAGAGCTTCTGCGAGGCCTTCCAATCCGCGAAAGAGTTGCAACAGCCACGCATGGCATGCGACAGCCCGGCAAATTCTACCATGTCTGCCTCTGAAGGTCTGCGGGCATCTGCGAGAGGATGGTGTCTCCTTTTGCTCGCAGTGCCTTACAGCGTGGTCTGCAGTTCTTGTCTTTTGTGAATTGATCAGCGACCAGTGTGAAAGGCGATCTGGTACTGCACACCATGGCCATTGACAGGACACATGGCCTTCATAGCTCACTAAACACTGCTGTTTGGTGCATGTAGAAAAGACCCTATGTCCCCTAGCTCACTCAGTTGTCGACGTCACGGATTGATGTCGAACCCATCGTCCTTTGCAATTCTTTTTGAAGAAGGATGGATTCAGCTGAAAACAGTTACCGAGGCGCTCACAGCATCTAAACGTATCTAAACACTTGCATCAACTGCACCAAAGCAACTGTCAACAAGTCTTGTCCTGGTTCCGGGCCCTGGTCTACCTTGACAGAACCAACTCGAACATGTCTCTTTAAGGGGATGTCAGTCACTGCTCCTCTCCGTTTCCCATCTGTCACCCATACACTTTGTGAATAACATAATATATAATATCATAATATATATATTATAATATATAAATACACAGAATCAAATCTGAATGTGGCTATTCGATGTCAGGAAGCTCGGAATCAGCACAACATGCACTCTAATGGCAAAGCCCAACACTTCCATGGCTCAGTCTTGGACATGGTCCCGCATTTGGCGGGAACCTGAGCAACAGAAACCCAGCGGTTTGTCTCGCACTTGCTGTTGCCCAGCTAACTTTTGTTCCTCTGCCCACTGCTGGTGTTGGTTGCTTTACGCCCCAGCTCTTTACGTTGTGCTTGTCTCAATCTCGTTCCTCATTTGGTGAAGAGCAACACTAATCACTAATCTGTCGAAAAGAATGTAATGTGGTCCAAACATCGAGGTCAGTTGCACGGCTGACATATATACACATATATACACATAAATGTACATCAATTCCTTCAAACAAGCTATTTTCCGGGCTGTTTCTCTTTAAGCCACCATTTTTCCTCAAGAGGGCGGGGAGTGCCACGATATGGAGGGGGCAACACATTGAAAAGATAGCCAACTGCCAGTGAAGAATCAGAAGTGCCGTCTGACATTTTTGCCAAACAGCACATAGATGAAAACGACCTGGCCTTCCTTTTACCCTGGAGTGACCGAATGTTTGCCCGGCGAGCCGCATGTGTGCATGTGTTCCCTCAGTTTTTGGCCAGCCGAATGGTTCTTCTGACTGGACTTCTGGACCCACCATCAAGATGATGTTGTCTTTACAAATATGTTTGATTCGGTTGTGAAGCCACTACAATGGTCGTCTCCCTTTTGCCAACCTCTGAGTACTCTTTTCTTGTATGCTACATCCACCAACTAACATTCCAGCTGAGCTTCGAAAGCGGTCCAATGGAGCCCAAGATCGGGTCCTGTCCAGTTTAAGAGGCTTTGTGCAAATTGATCCTCAATGAACCCTTTATTCTTATTGTTATTATGTCCTTTTTTAAAGCCCCGGGGGGGTAGGCCGCTAAGAGGATTAGGAAGCTACTAGGCTAAGTTAGCTTCTAGTCACTGGGCGCAGGATAGCTCACACTTTTTCAAGGAAGCTTCCTCGACTGAGGGTGCTGGGGGAGCTTCCTTGAAGAAGCGCTCGCAGCAATGATTTGGTTTCTAGACTTTTAACAAAAAATAAGCCAAACGACTCAGGGCTTCATCCTCAATCTTTCGACGTACTTCGGACACCCGACACTCACCACTTAGACCTGGGAACCGCCACTGGACCACAACTTGCTCCGTCCTTCGAAAATTCCAGCCCGCCGATCGGAGGGCCTCCAATGTGTGCAGTTCTTTTCTCCTACCACAAAGGTCTATTAAACACAAAGAAACTGGACCTTGCAAACGCCGAATCTCTGTCCAACAAGAAACACTACTTTCAATTGTCTGTGCTGGTGTGGTATGTCTGGCATCTGAAGTCTACATATCTACCTCTGCAAGCAAACTGGTGTGTGTGAAGACTGACGTGACATGCCAAGCTCAGAGCTACATCTTCGGCCCTCCTGATCCTGCCAACAAATTTGCCCATGTCTGCATTTGTTAAACGGGGAAGCAAACAAGCTGCAAAACGAAGAACACAACCAGCTCGAATACATGTATGCGTAGATGTATGGATGGATCACTCATTCAATTCCAATTGTATTGCTGCTGAATGACACCGGCGATGGTTCGCGGGTTCCTGGTTCCACATCCAATCGGTTGGCATTGAACCTCTCCTGCTGGCAAGGTGTGGGAGTTCAAATCTGGGTAGAATGGGTTGGATGACGAAGGAGGTCCTTTTTCTGCAGCTGATCCCTGGATCCCGACGCACGTGCTGGAGCAACGAGGCTCTCACACGGTCTCCAACCTAGTAGCGATGGCCTGTAACCTAGTAGCGATGGGCTCCAACCTCATAGCGCTATTTTCTGGCCTGGCAGGCTGTATTTCAAGGGGATGGCTTAATAGGTAAACGTTGTAAAGGAGATTAAACGAGTAGCTGAAAGAATGCGCAACGTTGTCAGGTTGTCAGGGACTCTGATGAAGATCAAATGAATGGAATCCACCGGCTCAAACCTCCCACCTGCTCAAGCGCGGAGAATCCATGCCCTCGCCCCTTTCCCCTTTCCCCATTCACTGGGGCTCACTGCGTTAGCAGCCACAGGGAGACCTTGGCTTCGTTCGGCATCGAGCAGTCGAATCGGTGATTGACACTCGGCCAGGGCACAAAGCTGTGTCTCAGCCAGCTGGCTTCGTTAAGCTAGTTTGGCTTTGAGCCAAACACTTCAGGCTGGAAATGTGACTGGACATGGGTCTGACTGAGCAAGCACTGAAGTCAACAACGATTTCTTGACTTGTAATTATACACTGAAATGACTTCATGCGCAGAAATATCGCTTCTATAACAGTTTCTTCATCTGCACAGCCTTGAAAATGGCACCTGCGAGTGACGATGTTGAGCGAGCGTCTTCTGAGAAGAACAAGTTGCTGCTCATAGGCCTGACAAAGTCTTCGGGCAGTGGATGTTCCGGGGTGATCAACCTCAAAAGAGCCCAATTTGGCATTGTTTTGATTCTGGTATAGTCTGGGCAAGGATTCATCATTGGTAGCCCAGCATGAGGTGAGTTCCAAAGGCTAGAAAAAATGGCCGTGTAGCCCAAGTACAATCACTTCAACCCGCTTTTGCAACTGTAAGACCATGACATCAAAGAGAAGGAGACAAAACAAGGTGCACAACACCAGGGACCCTTTTCGTTTGAGACGGGGACGCTGTGAGCGTGCATGCTTTCACTATATATAGAATGAAAATTCAGTTTAGACCACTGCACTTAAGACAAATCAAAGAATATCACCGTAAAGAGACATGAACATGAACACAAATGAAACGACCATCCGCAACATATAAATCAATTTCATACATTTGCTTTATTTTTTAAAATAGTTTTTATATCAATGATTGCTGTGTACGTTTACATCAAAGATACACACAGAAGTGTAAACTTGCACTGCAAAGTATACGTTTGGTGTAAAGTTACACTGATCAAGTGTAAGCTGTGCGTATACTTATGCTGTTGCTGTGTCAGTTTGATTGATGTAAACTTCCACTCCAAGAGTGTAAGTTTGACTGTGCGTTTACACAAATTTTACGCTTCAACTGCCGGTTTGTTGTCTGTTTTATTGATTTTCATTGCGCATTTGCAGTTATTTAGTTGTCTTTATCTTTTTCTGAAAACCATACTCCGCTGTTGGTTTGTGATGAACAACTTCACTGCATTTAAACACTTAAAAAAATCAGTGTCTTGGCAAATGGATTTGTTTTTTCATGACTCTTGACCTGCATGGATGCACTTAGGATACCAAACAATGAATTAATGGACTTTCAAAAACTATTGTTGGAACGTCTATCAATCTACTCTTTGCTTTTGATGTGTCCCAGGTTTTTTGTTTGGAAGAAAAGTAAAGACGACACATTTAATAAATGAACACCATTTAATGAGAGGTTCACTTCGTCCACATTCACTTGCGTTACTAAATAAAGGTGAAACATCGTCGACAACTATTTCTTTGCACACATATTTTTTTCACGACTCTTTATATACCTGTATAAATTCCTTTGCGAGACTCATATCGTCTCCAGCAATTTCGTCCATGCTATTGATAATGGTATACCGTGGTATGCTACAATCAATGCAGTCACTCAAAACCAGATACATCACTATCAAATGCATGGGTACTGCAGGCAAAAAATCAAAGCTAGCAACACAAAACAAAGAAAATACGTCAATGTCTCGGGGGCAGATCCTGAGACATGGACTTGTTTTTGTTTTTGTTTTGGTGACTATGTCATACAAACAACACATGCAAAGGAAATAGGCATGCTGAAACCTTCTTAGCGCACGCAAGAAACAATAATGATATAGTCGTACAACATGTTTTTACAATATAATTTATGAAAACTGAAGAAATCGTAAAATGGTGTATTTGTCTTAGGTGGGATGTTTTGCGCGCACAAGCGAGCGTGCGATATGAACGTGTGAATTCGCGCCGTGCGTGCAAACATGCGGACAGGTGTACGGGTGGATGTACGGACGGGTGCGCGGACGGGTGTACGTACGCCCGTGCAACTACACATACATACCAAAATAGATCCTATGCAATTTGCGAAAAAATCTGTTTTGCAAAAACATGTTGTTCTTTGTACGCACGGGTGTACGGACGGACGTGCGAATGTACGGATGTACCCATACACCCGCCCGCGCACCCGTCCGCACACCCGTCCGTACACACCCCAACTCCTAGCGTACACTGGCCCGAGCAGATTTTAGCCTATGTCATTTTACGAGTCCTTGAAATTTCATGAACTATAATATTGTCTATATACAATTAGTTTTCTATTAGTTCAAATGTATAAATGTATATATATATATATATAGCACCACCCCCCAAAACAAGTCCTACCATCATTGAGCTCTTTTATATCGTTAAAGTTATGTTAGTTTTTGCGGTGGCTATTGAACAAATATTTTTACAGAAGGGGTGGCCATGGGGCCTGGGTTTTGGTTTTCCATACATTTTCATAAATATTAGGTAAATGCATCAGTGCCACAATCAAAACCAAAAAACACTGATAAATATGCATAAAGGATAAAAAACACATAAGAAAAAACCAAAAAGAACTAAAAACCATGGGAAAACAAAAAACTAAAAAAACATTTCAGGGAGACTCTTGGCTGGACCCCCCAAAATCAGAAAAACCAAAACACCAAAAAAACCTTGGGAAAACCAAAAAAACCAATTCTCAGAGACTCTTGGCTGGACCCCCTTTTCCTCAAGACTTCCCCAGATTTTTTTTGCTTTTTTGGTTTTCCCAAGGTTTTTTTGGTTTTCTGATTCTTCTGATTTTGGGGGGTCCAAGCAAGAGTCTCTCAGAATTGTTTTTGTGTTTTCTCAAGGGTTTTTGGTTTAGCATCTGAACTTACTTCTCACCTCAAGGCATCTGTTCTTTTTGCTTACGTCTGAAACCGTCTGAGCTCAACACTTCCTTCGTCCTTGTCCAAATCTCCATATACAAGTCTGAGTGCATTAACTGCTGACTGGTATCAATGCGGTTGCCACTTGCATTTCCAAACAGCTTGACATGCAGTTGCGAGGACACTCTGTCCTTTACATGAAACGGTTGGAAATCTTTGCGAGCGTAATTCTGTGCTTATAGCTCAAGCGTTTACATCTTATTCTGGCGAACTTCTAATTTTGATTCTAATTCCTTTCTAATTCAACTCTCATCTAATTTCAATTAGGCTATAGTTATAGTTCAATACAAGTTTATTAAAATTCGGTTTTACTTCAGTTTTATCTTAGCTCTAACTCAAATCCAATTTAATTCTACCTAATTCTATTCTAGCTCTAGTCTATTTAGTTTAAGAAAACACATGCTACAAAACCCCGTGTTTTACAGTATTTTTTGCCCTGGAAGTGCTGGGAACAAGACTAAAACTCTTTTTTGAAGTAAATAGTTAGATTTATTTATTGTCAGTAATCACTGGAGATAATATATATACATATTAAACATGTTTTCTGTACAAGCTTCTAATTCAAGAGCTTCCCTCTAGATCTCTGGGGATGATCATTTCTACAATAAAACTATATATAAGCTTTCCTTTCAACAGCTTTCCTCTGGATCTCTGGAAATGGTCACGTCAATCGAAACATGCTATATATCAATAAATAAGTCTTTCTTTCAAGAGCTTTCCTTTCATGAAAACACATATAGGGATATCTACTTTCTCAGAGATCCTGAGGAAAGCTTTGAAAATGCAAGCTCTTGCCCGCAGAAATCTAGAAGAAAGCTTTTAACATACAAGGTTTCTATATGGTTGTTTAAATCTAAACATGATTATCTGCAGAGATTTATAAAGAATCTTTTATAACATGAAAGCGTCTATACACAATCTTTCCAAATCTAAACATAATTATAAGCAGAGATCTAGAGGGCAATTGCTAAAACGACCACTTTTATGGCCTGCTTCTTTTCTAGTTATGTTGTTCAAAACCATCTGAATGACTGATTGCTGCTTCCAAAACAATAAAATTATCCTGACTCAGGAATACATAATATATTTGTTCATATAGAGTGAGAGCAAGAATAGATATGTGTGTTTATATGGAGAGGGGCTGCCACTAAAGCATGTACCTAAAATTTTAGGGAAAACCAAAACCCAGGCCCCATGACCACCCGCTCTCTATTTTTAATCATTCTGAACAAAAGTATCTTCATGAAACACAACTCCACAGTTGCCAAATGCCTTCTGTGGAAACACTTCTGATCATGTAATTGTCATGATTTCTTTACAAAACGGATCTGAACACATCCATGTCAAAGGAACTTCATTGTATATATTTGACTTTCGGAGCTCTAAGCACACACTGCATAATTTGCATGAACTCTACCTGTTAGTACATAGTCTAATGGCGCAGTTCCAAGTCCAAGCAGGAGCTGGCAATTTGAACCGTTAACGTCCTTCTCATGTTTTTAACAGTAGCGTTGTTCATGAAGGATATTAAGAATGATCCAAGAGCAAAGTGAGACTGCCTTTATTCGTGCTACAAGTGTCTGGGCTTCATAACCGTTACAACTGTGCAAAGTACCTACAACACACCAAAAAGGTAGGTACATAGGGGTAGGTAGATTATACTTATATGGCCTTATCTATAACACACATATATATATATATATATTAGTATTCATTATATCAAAAAATAGAAGAATATAAATGAAAGAATAAACAGACGCTAGCATATATATGTATATATACAAATCAATATTTACGCGTAGCCAACCGGATCCTACCGATCGAACGCGCGCGCGGGCTATCCTGTTTTCAGCTCCGGCCAATATGGATGTCCCTGCGAACGGCGACGAACATGATGCAGGCCGCAATAGTCAGGTGCCTCCCAGGAGAATCCATCATAGTGTCAGCGACCTTGGCGTCAAACTTCATGGTTGGGCTAGAAGTGGCTTGGCGCTCAGTAGCGGTGAGGATGGGATCCTCTTCATGAACATCCCAACGTGGCCCGGAAAGACGAACGGCCTCTGAGCTGAGCTTTCTCAACTTCTCCCATAGCTTGATGGTGATGTCACGCACTTTCTCGCCAACGCATAGCTCATAGCTGCGGTCTGCAACATGTTTGAGGCGTCCTAGAAGCCCTTGAAAGACCAAGGTCCATTCTTCCTCTTTGCAGGTGTGGGACGGCCTTCCACGTGATACCCATTCTTCTCCAACCACTCATTGGCAGTGGAGGTAGGATCCCTCCCCAACGAAAGGCCAGAGGTTTTCCACCAGCCTTAGCACTCTTTGATGATATGTAATATAAATTCTTCAACTTGTGGCTGAATCCATTTCGCGGCCTCAAGCTGGATCAAACCCTTCAAAAGTCGAGACGCGAGACATCCATTCTTTTCACTCTGGGCCAACCATTGGTCAACTTCTTCGGGAGCCACCTTGATATACCCCGTCAAGATGTTATCGTGACAGAGCTCATATTGGACGTTTCGAATAATCAAATCCAACATGCCGGTAATGCGATGGCTGACCAGGTCATCCTTTTCCTCGAAGGATGGTGAGGCAGCCTTGATTGGGTTTGGGCCCTCCAATCAAGAGAAGAGCGATCCAGAGCAACAGTGCCTGTTCTCAATCTGGCCAGGTTATGGGCCAGAGGAAGGTTGTCAATGACTTCATTGTCAAATTTGAGATTGTCATCAATGACCGGAACCAACAACAGGAGCTTGCAAGAAAGTTGATGCGCTTCTTGCAGCATGTGGATAGCCAAATCTTCTCCCGCGACACAAACCTCTCCACGAGGTGTTTTCCGCTCCTCCAGGGCGTTCATCAGAGACTGCCAAAGCTGCAATACTGGCTCCAGCAAAATGGCCTGAAAGGTCGAAGCGTGGAAGGGCTTTTGGATCATCATGGAACAATGACTTCTTTCCTCCTTGCCGGTCTTCTTTGGCCGGTTCATGAATTCACGATAGAAGGACTGTTTGGAAGTGTAAGTGTTGTTGGTTGGAGGCTGAATCCTGAATACTTCTCACGGTCAGTCTTGTGAAGTGCATCCGTTTCACACTGATGCACCAAATCCTTCAGCTCAGATATGACATCCCCAGGCTTCGTTTTGAAGGATTCAATGTCCTCAACTATGTTGGAATCCACATGCGCAGCCTGCTCTAAGCAACGCTCAAGGTGGATAAGGCGTATGTTGACAAGGCGCTTGCGTGCAGTAGGATCTGATCCTGCTCCTCCACGCGAACGCTTCTGAACACTGGCGTCCCAAACTTGACACGCTGTGACTCTTCGTTCTCCGTCCCACAGGCTGTGGGCCTCTGCGCGACCCAACTGCCACTGTGCTTCGGCAGGAATTTTTCAACTCGTAATCGTCAAAGTACTTTCTCCCCCCAGGTTTGTTCGGGCACTATCCATGACAACTTCTGTCTGCGGGGAGTCAGGCCCACTGAGCCCATTGGCGTTCGAACAAGGTGCGCAAAAGAGAGGCTGTTTCCTTTTCATGGATTGGTACCTGATAACATGATCCTTGACGCACGATGTTCAGGGCTTTGATTTTCTGGTTGACTTGCCAACCTGGCAACCACTTGACGTCACTGCCCACGAGAGCATTGAAAGGCGTGTTGTCTCGAGGACTTGGCCGGCAACGGCACATGTCTCCAACGCATGAGCGAGCTCAATTGCTCGCGCTGAGGCTGAACCATGACGAAGGATACGAGCCACATCTGGAGTCTGAGGATGTCCTTATAGGTTCTTGCGCAACTTTTGCAAAGCTTTGATGATTTCTTCGTTCTCTTCGTCTTTACCACTTTGAAGTTCAGCACATCTGGCCAAGACCTCATTGGTTTTCCATGGAACACTCAGGAAGGACTTGCACCAAATGTGCCTGGCGGACTGTCGCTACTGCGGGGATGGTGTGAGGACTGCTCTCGTAGGCCTCATCGTCGAGGTTCTCTTCCGGCTGGAAGTCGGCCAAGAACTGTTCTACATCCTGAAACATTTCATATAGGTTTCAGCTGAACGCCAAATGCATGGGTGGCGCTTGCGTGGAATCGTCCTCCAGCAAAGCCAAGACCACGGCCTTCTGTTCATCTGACAGGCCACTGCGGTTGAGGACCAACCAGCCACGAGCTTCTTCACAGAAGGCGACGTTCGTCTTGCGAGCACACCTGCCGAAAAGTGCGCCAGCTCGACTGATCCAGGCTTCCCCCTTCATGAGCTCGAAGGTTGAAAATCTCAGACATCTCGTCGGTGACCTCTTTTTGCGGAAGACGTGCGTCAAGAAGCTTTTGGCACGCGAGCTCTAGGTGTCCCACGCACTCCAATGCCTTAGCGCTCAGTAATGTGAACACATAGGCGCCCTTGGCTTGGGCCCTTTGTCCAGGGTGAGCACCTTGCACTCAGGCCTTCCACCTCCGATACTCCTTGTGGCCCTCGCTTTCTCCGGAGAAGAACTTCAAAAAGGAGGTGGCTGGCATGGTACTCATGGCGGCGTCTTGGTCCTACCCGCCAATGACAACACTGGCAGCCGACCGGATCCTACCGATCGAACGTGCGCGCTGGCTATCCTGTTTTCAGCTCCGGCCGGATGTCCCTCCGAACGGGGACGAACATGATGCACGGCACTCCAGGAAGGTGGTACTCATGGAGAACGGTATGCAAATGTGTTTCAAGCAGGACATGTACAAGTGCGGTTGAAGACCCAAGGAAAAATCCATGTATATATAGAAATATGAATGAAGATAAGATAAGAGAAAGGAAAAGAATTGTTATTCCTATAGGTGAGAGATCAGAGAGTTTATCAAGGAAAGAAAATGAAGGGAAGACAGAAACAGCAGAATTACACAGAAGAACATAGTAAGCGCTGTTTATCCTATCTTTGCTGCTCGTGTTCTTACAGAATTATATGGCATATAGATGGAAAAAAGGTTTTCATATACAGTGATAGAGTAATATTGATTATTGTAGGTTTTCTTATCATAATATATAGCACTTTTCCCTACTGAAAACAAGAAGAAAGGGAAACGACAAATATGACCTAATAAAAGGCATGAACACGAATAAAAAGATCTATGTGTTGAATCACGAGTGCTGATCAGGAAACATATACACAAACTATATATGTATTTCAGTTCCATAAAGCACGACGCAAGAAATCACGTCAACGAAGCAGCTATGCCACCTGTTCAGCTGCAAAAAGCTTCCTCCCAAGCATGCAAGCTGCATATAATGATTTTATTTGATATACAGTTGTCTCTATTTCCTTGCCCATATGTTTCCTAGGAGGAAAATCTACACTTTTCTATATGACAGACATTAAAGTTGCAAGTGTCAATGAAAATACCAGCAGGAGAAGTAGAAGTAGTGAAACCTGAAGAACCTTAACAAAAAGCACCTAAACAAGAACACATTACGAACCATAAAAGAACAATTCAAGACAACAAATTTAGAGGATTAAAGGGTTAGATGTCCAAAACCGTGGCAATTCCATGCATGCAAGGAACTAAAAGCAACGGCTACACCAAAAGCACTAGTTCAACATTTTAAAGAAAAAGAAAAAGAAGAAAAGAAGAAGACACACCAAGAGAATTACCTCCGGGGAAGCACAAACCAACAATGAATCAGGTGCTAGAAAGATTCAACTAGACCCATGGCACCAGTAAATCCACTGAAGAGTCTAGCGCATAACTATCAGGTATTGCAAAAGGAAAATACACGACGCAAGCACCAGTTTCTGCAAAAGAATGTGCAATAGCAAGCCTAAGAAACGACAGTGATTACCTTCATTTAGAATTTCTATAATTGTTTCATTTGACTGAGGAACAGTTTTCAGAGGAACTGCGTCTACAAAGCCAGAGATTACAGGATCATCGCATTTAACAACAGAGGCCTATGTTCAAAGTCAAGTAGAAAGGTGGAGGTGGTCGAGGTGGTGGAACTTATACAGATACTCAAATTAATGAACTTTCAGCATTGAAAGCAAACCCATCAACAAGATATATTTAAAAACGTACAGCAACGTAGCGCAACAAGTTTATAGATTTCACCATGGAGTTTATAGAGTATACTTAGTATACTTGCTCACAACTCTTTGGTAGGGTAGGTACACTCAGCCGCGGAGGTCACGGCATAGTAGGAAAAAACTTGCGTTCCACAATGGAAACGCGATGCCATAAAAGGAGTCCCGGCATAGTCCTTGCAAAAACCAGCTTCCCGCATGGAAACACATTGATTTGGCAATGTTTTTGATGTGTTCCGACGTTCCTTCCGAAGCACAATTGTCATGTGTTCACAACAAGCTTCTGCCATGGAAACGCGATGACTTAGCAATGATTTTAATCTCATTGTGGTCCCTTGACATGTCTTTGAGCCAGGCTCTGGACACTTTAACTCACTCACACAAGTTGCAAAGAGGTATCGGAGCGAGGGTGAACGAGAGGGTGAACGAGGCCACAGCCCGCGCCATCAAGGATTTACGGCGCACACCTTTTCTTTTTTCAATCTTGCTTTCTTTCTTTCTTTCTTGTCTCCCCGCTTGTCTGCTGTGATCGGCGTTTTGTCTGCCGCTGCTGCCTTGTCTCCTTACTTGTTTTTTGTTTTACCTGCCTCCCCACTTGTTTGCCTGTGCGATCGGCGTTTTGCTTGATCGGCGTTTTGTTCGCCGCTGCTGCCTTGTCTTCTCCCCAACCAACCGCGACATCGCCACGACTACCATACATTCAAACCCCAATGGAAACGCTTCAAAAATAGAAAATTGCCACGACTTCAACATTTAATTGTAGGGGGGAGGGGGGGTGCTCAAAACTCTTTCCCTTCGTCACCTCTCCTTCAAGAAGACTTCACAGTACGCCCCCCCCTCCACTCTCCTTCAAGAAGACTTCACAGTAACCCCTCCCCCTCCACTCGTCTTCAAGAAGACATGTTAGTACCACCCCTCTCCACTATTCTTCAGGAAGACTTCTTAGTACACTCTCCCCCCACATAGTTTATAGACTTATATAACTACCCTTAACCAGTTAGTTTATACACTTTGTTAATGATGATCTTAGATCATGTAGATGCAATCATGTACATATCATATGATGCTGCACACATATATACAAATCATATGCACACGATGTCATGTGCATTGCTGTATACATATGCACAAAACATATGCACATGATGTGATGTGCATATACATGCATGTAACCATAAGCAACCACTGATCTTGGGGGGGTACTATATATTTATATATACTGGCTATAATAGGTCTTATGCCTTCAAGACATTCCAATGCTGACTTAACAGGCAGGAAAGGTAGACTGTTCAGGGGGTAGCATATATATATATATAATAAACACATAACATGTGCAAAATGCGCACGTTGAGGGCGTCCTGTTCTGTTTCTTTTCCCCGCAGTCCTCGAGTGCTGACCTTTGAAGCGCCATGCACCGTCGACCACCAAACGTGGAAGTGGGCCTTCCAAGCCCTGGAACCATGAGTAAAACAACTGAGTGTTGGGAATCGCCGAGCATATCCGAGAATGCCAAATGATTTGACTCGCCACTCGGTTCATTTCAAACATCGTTAAACACATTGTTTGCAGCTACCAAAAGATCGATACCCCGGCTTTGTACACGCACAGCCTCCTATCCCATCTGAGATTCAAACTTCTCTTCCACAACTTGCAACTTGTTTGAGACAGTTGTTAAGCCGTAAGGGCACAGCATCATTGCCCAGCCTCTATCTGGAAAGAGGATGCATTCTTGAAGAATTCAGAGTTCTGCAAGGAGGGAAATCCCAAGCGAGACAAATTGAGGCAAATGTGCTCAATATATGCAAAGCTGGCAAAGAATGCAATTGATTAGTGTAAATCTGTAGAATCGTGTGAGTTCGTCACCATCTAACAAGGAGCCAAACACTGCATGTGACCAAAGCATGGTGAGATCTGAATCGCTGCCACCTCCAACTGTGGGAACTTGCACAACACCAGAACCTGAGTCGTGCGTTTCGCTACGCAGGTATCAGCGTAGTCACAAAACGCAGTACTCTGCACTTTGGATAAAACACTCATCCCTTGTTGTCTGAGCAGCTACAAGAACACCAAACACCAACCTGGTTAAACCACGCTGAACCCCGCACCAGAATTCCAACTGACAGTTCTTGAAGGAGTCTTTCTTCACATTTAGCAATTTTCGCCTTCCTGGGATCCCCAACCTCCTCTCCAACTGGTGTGTCAGCCCAGCTCGCTGAGGACATGAGCGATCAAGGGCTCTCATCGGGGAAGTGTGCATTGACAGATCCATACAGATCCATATTAGATGAATTTTATGGATAATTTTATGCAAATGAATGTGATCAACAAAGGGCATCGCTTCTAGGAGCAAGAAGCTACTTCGATTTCTTAGCCTACCTGTGTGGAGTCTCCTAGACTGATGTGATCCGCGTAGGTACCTTGCTCCGCTGAATGAAGCGTGAGGTCGAGTGAAGCTTAGGGGTCCAAAGTAGAGTCATGCAGCTTGGTATTTCCAAAATCGCTTCTAATTGACAAATTCATACCACAAAGCCTTGCTCTTTGATGCTCTCTAAGGGTTTTGCTGCTGTGCAAAGCTGTTTTGGCCACGACGTTGGTCTTGGATGAGTTATGGCCCAAGTTATGGCTGTCGCCGCTGTTAGCGACCCCAGAGGAAATCGCGATTTTTTGTGGGGTTGGGTTGGGGTGGGGCGGGGCACGTGAACGTTCGCTTGCATTTACGTCACGAAGTTGATGCTTCGTGGTTGATGTGGGGTGGGGTGGGGTGGGGCATGTTAACGTTCGCTTGCACTTGCGTCACGAAGTTGATGCTTCGTGTTTGATGTGGGGTGACGCAAAACGCGTCGATCAATATGTCCGCAGTTTTCAGTTTCGGTGGAACAACAGAGGACATTTCCTTGAGGCGTTGGCTCGAACGTGGCCGCAAGTGTAAAGAACATACACCTGCAAAACGCGTGTGCGCCAAAAAGAAGTGCGCTTTCTGCCCTTCCCCATTCTAAATTCCACGTTACAAGTGCCGTCCCTTCTAAAAAATGGGATGAAAGCACATATTATCCAACCTCTTCCAAATGAAAACATATAAAACATGGGAGGTTTTGAGCACTGTCCACTTCGGCGCTGTGCGAATCGCACAGGGTCACTATTAGCGGGCGGTACCAAGTTATGGCCATATGGCTATGCATGACTACACCTAGGCACATTTCAGACAAACAAAGGAGGAGAGAGGGAGAGAGAAAAGAGAGAGAGAGAGAGATAGAGAGAGAGAGAGAGATAGAGAGAGAGGACATCCCACCTTTCACTAGGCAAGATTTCATCCAATTACTGTCAACTTGAAGGGAGCAGAAACTTCTCTATCTCTCTCTCTCTCTCTCTCTCTCCGTCAATCCCTTCCTCCTTTCCAAGCGATCAAGGTTTTTCTCACGTCGCCGCTGACTTGCATGGCTCAAAGGCTAGAAGCGTTCGGACGGTGCCGTGAGAAGTCAAGGCCTTAGCAAGTAAATGATCGCAACAGCATTGGAAGGAGTGTGAATGGTTTGAGAATGGTCAGGGCTTCTAAGATCACGGCTTGTTGGAGCAGTGACCCACGAGCAACGCGCTGCAAACTTGAGCAAACGCATCCTGGTCATGGCCAGAATGAGGAGTCGAGGCTTCCAGGATCAACGTAGGTGATGAAAAAGCAAAAACATCCACGTACCGTACCTGTTGCAACGCCTCCAAAGGCTTCCCTGCCCTGCCTTTGGGTAGCCTGAGTTGCATGGCTGACATAGGCTCCTCAGGCTCTGCGCAGCCACGGCAATCACCTGCCAAGATCTGCCAAGTGCATAAAGGCACAAGACGGTGACTTTGATGGACCATGCTTCTTGAACTGGCGGATACATCTGAGCCTGGATAAAAGTTGAACTTGGTTACTTGGCTGTTGGATGCTCTTGGTATATATATATGGTATTGGATAGACGCCCGTCCAATGGCTTTTCTTCTGGGTCGCCTCCTTGCCGGTTGGATGGACACCCGAACCGGGAAGGACACACTGAAGGCCATCAATGATCCGCTGACCACTCGTCCGGCACAAAACAAGTTATGCTCTACCCTCGCTACTCTGATTGCACTCACGAAGGGACACCCACTACTCACTACCCCTTGCTTCCGCTACCAACGCTCATGTGCGCGGTGCGCGATTTCTATGCCTGGAAAAGCTTCGAGGCCGCACCACACTAACACATGCACCCAAGCGCTTTCTGTGAGGCTCTGGCCCAGCCTGTCGATGCTTGAACCGTGTGACAACTTGGCGAGAATTCTTGGAAAGTGGCACCCAGGTGCAACTATGCTGCTTGCCTCAAGCGTATTTAGGGGCATCTTGCTAGTGCCCTGCCTGAGTTCGAGGAAGAGTGCACACTCCACTCCTCCGTGGCGTGTCATCAGCGGTTGCACTGAAGCTTCCAAATGCAACTGATGGACACCCAGCAGCTGCTGAAAGGAGCCCTGACACAGTGCAGCACTGAGTGGAACCGCCACATCTCTGTCCAGCTATTCAGCTACCTTACTGCACATGCTGAAAGAGTCTATGCTTTCACACTAAAGTTCTGAGTTCTGACCTTCCATGTTTACCAGTATGTCATGTCATTTGATAATGCTGGACTATCCATTTGGGATTCTGATTGCTTTGAAGGGATCCACTTGTATCGTCATTGCTATGCCTTGAGTTCTTCCGCAATAGCAGCATGATAATCAATGATAATCAAGCTGGACAACTCTATAATCTCAAAACGAACGAGTGCGTCCCACTCTGCCAGCCTGGTACTGATTCGACTTGGCTGGTGGAGGTGGAGGGCTCCACTCATTGGCATTTTGTAAAGCATTCTGCACATCCTGGCAGCTTGGTTGCTCCGTTTTCTCGCAAACTCCACCCAAGAATTGCTTGAACAAGTATGGCAGCTGTTTAAAGTGCTTGTCAGATCTTCCACGGCGACCCCGAAGGCATCACTCTACTTTCTAGATTCTAGATGCTACGAGCATATGTTATGATTGTGTTATGATGTGTTATGTATAGATAGATAGAACAGACTCATGAAACTCAAAGATACTCAAAGCAAGTTAAGAACCAAACATGCGTGCCTGTGATGTGAGAGCGTCTTAAACCAATGTGGGCTTCGCTTCATCCCAATGAAAGGAAAGTTATGCTGTGTTAACTGCCGCTCTACCGCTGCCTTTGGCTGAAAGGCAAACTCCAGCAAATGCACCTTCTGCCAGCTCTGGGTACGAATGCAATCCATGCTCTGCGCTGAGATGTGTCCAAAAAGTATACAGTAAAACATCAGACTTCACATTGAGTGTGGAACAAAACACGGCGGCTCAAAAGAACAACCATCTCTATGTCCATGCTTCTTTTTTTAGCGCTCAAAAAGCCTTCGAGCCTCCCCCTTAGCCCCCGTCCACCGCTCCGAGCTTCAGACCTGTAAACCGTGGCACTGGCCAAGCCCATGCATAAAGCTCTCGGTGATCCGCTCCAAGCGATCAACTCCGTCCAGGCCATAGATCGGCCACTGCCAATTGGCAGGTGACGTCACCTAAGAACAAGTGCATCGCTCCTAGTAACAAGGGCATTACTACCAGTAGCAAGAAGCTACTGGGGACTCCTGGCATCGCTACTAGGGCATCGCTGCTTCTTTGACGACTTTGACAACTTTGACTCGACAGTTGACTGGTGACCATTTGCTGACCATTGGTGGCCAGGACAAATTCTTATTGCAAGACTTCTGCATCCATGACTAGTGGGACAAGCACTTCCAACATCTTCCAACCATTTCAGCTGCAGCGTTGCAGTTGAGTGGCGAGGTGTAGCTTGCCATAAAAGCGTTTGAGTCGCTGATGCACTTCTCTGCTGCTGAAGCTCTTCCTCTCCAAGATGCAAAGCCCCCGCTGAATGGCAGCCAGCCGCCAGGGTGCCCGTTCTGGCGAGACATATGAATGGAACCGGCTAGGGCCAAACACCCATCCCAAGACTTGATTGTTTCTAGAAGCGATGCACTTGTTCCTAGTGGCATAAGATGGCTTGTAGGATAAATCTACTAGTGCCGTAAGCTATAAATGTTTCATTGGACAAATCTACTAGTGAATCTCCACAAATCCGCCTTCATTACATAAACATCAATCCAACATTATGCAACATCTTGGACTGAGACAAAAACAATTGCTGCGGCTTTTGCAGTGTTTCGCCTGGATTCACCGAAGAGGTGAAGAAGGCTTGTTGCATCGAGGCGGTGGATGCTTCCAAGCGGCACAAACCTGCGAAGGCAAGCAGGTCTTCTGAAGGCATCGACACCCAATGGGACGATAGCCTACGGCCATGATTGGATTGCGCTGATGTTGGAAATTGTCTTCCAGAGAGCATCTACTTTTGCAGTTTGTGATAGTGCCTTCTCTCGATGACAGCGAGTTCCAAAAGCAGTCGGAGCACTACTGCAACTGCCATAACATGCCGATTCTTCTTGAGACTAGTACACGACAAACCGTGTGGGTCTTATGTGCGTGAGGGCCCTTCTTGACCTACTAGTAGCAAGAAGCTACTAGGGGCTCCTGGCATTACTACTAGGAGCAAGGACGCTACTAGGGGCTCCTGGCATCGTTACTAGGAGCAAGCACGCTACTGAATCTGTTTCTTTTCTCTCCACCGCACCTTTCGCATCCACAAAGCCGGTGATGCTTAGCAGCCCGACGATGTCGAGTGTCTGCAAAAGACCGGGCTTCCATCCTGGAGGCTTGGGACAGTGACAGTGAAATCAATGGCACCATTTCACCAACTCAAACATACCATGTCCGATGTCCATCCAACAGATCTCTCGAAATCTCGTCCATGTGCTTCTTAACGAATCTCATATTGTCATATTGTGTCATATATTGCAAATAGATCACGAATCTTATCGAATCACCCTTACCCGGCCTTTCTTGCAGTGGACATCATGAGATATCCCAGTGCGGGTGCCACTCATGCGCTCGGCGCAGCTATGTACATCGGAGGGACGACTAGAAACATGGACACACAAAGTGAGCAATGCTTGCCTAGTTGACATTGAAGCAAGCTGAGAACTGAGAACGCTTCCTTTTTGAGACACTGAACATTATTGCTGAATGAACAAGATTGGCTACTCCAACTGTTGTTCTCCTCAACGATTTGATGTGACAAATCTGCATTCAATTTTCAATTGCTCCGAGAGGAAGCTGCAAAGCGGAGACACACATGCATCAGTTCTCCTATCTCTGCTGCGAACATCTTCTGCTCAATCAAACAACAGTGTTGAGTTTTGACACAAGACGCAGCGATTTGAGTAAGTTTAGGAGTCCATGTCCACACACACTTTCGTAGTCCGCTTGGGGACCTACTAAACCAACATCTCAGGGTGTTGGCTGTCACGACGACTTTGTCAAACTGATGCTTGGCTTGTCGTGGTGGCCATGTATTTTTCTGCGAAAAGCGAACGACTCAGCTGGAGAATGCCAGAGTAGCTCCTGCATTTCCAATCCCAACCCCTGTTTGGATCAGAAAACGGCACTTGCCCAATCTTTGACCCTCTGTCCAAAGAAGCGCAAGCGAAAGCCAAAAATCCAATGGTTAGAGTTTAAAGTTTAAAAATGTTTTTTGTTTTCTGCGAAACACAATGGTTAAACAAATCTCGGCTTTCGCCACCAGTCCCCAATGCATTCCACAAGTGACACAAAGAACCACCGCACATGGTCCTTGGTGCAGCCCGGCATCATCACACCTGGTCATGCATTGCCTTCCACTGCTTTCTGTTTTGAGTCATACTGCTATTTAGCCAACCTGGTTTTGCAGAAAACACATCCGGTACTCCATCTTGAGTTCAACTAGCTGTGCTTCATCGTAGTCCTCCCACTTGGCGTTCCCACATGAAAGCTGGAGAACCCTTCTCGTTGCTTGCCTCCACGTTGCCGGTTCGCCACCAAGTATCATTGTTGATACGCTTCATGAGCGCCTACATGCTGACTTCGAAACTGACACCAGGGGTTTTGCGAGCGAATCAAGTCAATTGCGCCCCCCTTGCCAGGTGTTTCCAGTTGCGGCTGAGCCAGAATGTCTCAAGGTCCCAAATCCCAAACCAAGGGTATGAAATGGTATGAAATGGTAAGAACATTAGGAAGACACATGCATCATTAGCGAAACATCCAAGTCTGACCTTAGTGCAACTATCTGCCTTCAGATGAGGTAGCACTCAAAGAATGCTCAAACACTTCAAGGCACCTTCAATTGCTTCCTTGGGCCACATTCGTAAATCTCCTCCAAACTCAGCTTTCCCATCAGCTCCATTGAGTCCTGCGCGTTTTTTCAAGCCAGAAGAGCTTGCTATAGTTTACGAATATCTGGTCAAAGGCGACGGAGGCTTACCTCAAGAGAAGCTCTACTCGTGGCTTGTGTGCATTCACAGGCTCAGCTGGTGAAATGGGGTCAATATATGAGCCTTTAAGCTAACTAGCACGTGGTAGCGCTCCTTCTTGCAGCAAACGCTATAACAAGTATGCATTAAACTCGCAGTTGTGTTATTCTACAGCATATCTTGTCAGCTCTCCAGAAACCACTGATCTCAACAGCAAACAGCAATTGAAGAAGCAAACAACGAGGTAGGCAGTGCGGGATTTTGAGCAGTCTAGTTTCCATCTGGTCCATCTTGTGTCTTTGCTCCTTCCACCGCACTGGCTTTACAAGTTGTTCACCTCGCGAAGGCAATCAGGGCAGCACCACAACCAAATCTCATCCCTTCTTTTGAACTTGGTCTATTCACAGCCTGGTCATCACCATTATCGTCCGATTGAGTGGTATATATATATATATATATTATAGTCTATAGTATATGCGTGTTCTTCTCGAGTTAATGAAGCTGACTGATACTGTAGCAACTGTCCGCTGAAAGTAGACAAGGGTGGCTGCAAAACACCATCATGCTGACATGAAAACCAAAATTATCTGAGGCTGTTGCCCAGCAGCCTAAGGACCTCTTCTAAATCGGTGCTACGGTCAATTGGCCTGACAGGAGCTGACTCCACACAAGCATTTACAGGTCTTTCGTTGCGAATTCAAAGGGATCACAACCTGAAAAGCCGTAAGTCACCGTGAGTTGATATGGCACTATGTCTTGTCCTGGGTATCTTGTGTACACATCTTGGTGGCTGCAAAGAATGGAGCAAACACTTCTGGGTATTGCCGCTTGCATAACAACATGTGCTGTAAGTAAAGAAGAGCTGGGCTGCAACACGAGGCTCTCTCTCCCTCTCTCTCTTGCCATCCAGTATCCAGCATCCCAAACCAAGCGGAAGTAACTTAATTAACTTTGCAAATATTTGGACGGAATGATCGGTTTGAACTTTGTCGCCCGCTGCCTAGCGGTAGCGTTCATCACCACTTGACACCGTGGTGGCGACCTTTACACTTGAGGTGTGAAACCAATCACACACACTCAGTAAGGAATCAGGAATCCATTTCTTCCACTTCCAACACAAAAGACCCCACTGCACAGCTTTCCCACATCCGAAAGTTCCGAGCGACAAAAGAAACTGACACGAGGCATACTGGCTTCTCAGAGCGATGCATCCGGCAAAGCACATCTTGGAGCTTTACCTGAAGTGTGATGCACCCGGTGTGACGTTGGTTCATCTGAGACAGGCAACCACAACCTTTCGGCCCTTCTATGATGTCAGCACCCACAGTTGTTCAAAACACTGGAAGCTAGGTTTGAAAATCCTTGAAATATGTTTAAACACCAGGACAGTGATCAAACTGCGTGACCACTTGGATCCCTTTGACCATTTGCAAGTACCACTGCCTGAAATTTCTGCATCGCCGGCTGCATGAGCTTGGTATGGAAAGCTCCCCAGCCCTGCGAAAACCGCAGCAGCAGAATGGTCCACGAAAAAGTGATGCGCTTTGCCGCGTTGCTTCGTTTTCCTTGCAGAAAACTGCGGGCAGTGTTATATGATAATGATATGGTATGGTGTTGTTCAGCCTTCTTCTGCTAAGAAGGACGACGAAGAAACGGAGTTGACTGGATTTGACACTTGCAAGTGAGGAGGGTCCAACATTTTGGAATATGCTTCTTCTGGTCCAGAAACCATGTCATTGGCGGCTTTGCAATGACACTGGCCTGTAAGTGGATTGGGCAAATCCAACAACTAAAAAGATTGGCAATGTCAGAAACAATGAATCATTTATGTTTTCAGAGTTTGCCCATGTATCCTGAAGACTCGGCGTGTGAGGATGCTTGGTAGCTTCTGTGCTTGCTCTCAAACAATTGAGCCTGGAGTTTTGCAAATGGCTACTCAATGCCTTCATTGGAACTTGGATATCCTTTAGAGTCTAGACCTAGCACTGCCACTCGCTCCAGCATACCAACACACACACACACACAGTCAATGTTCGCGTAAAAAAACTACATGCACACAGCTTCAGGCTCACTAGCGCTCTGAAGAGAAGCAGCACAGGTACAATCCTACAGGCGCAGAATGTCATAAAAGCCAGTGCCGCACCGACAATAGATTCTTGGAATATCTTGGAATCATGTGGTCATCATATGGTTGCATGTGGCCACCTCCAAAAACGTCGGGAATAGTTTAATTTGCTAATTACCTGTTCTGAAGAGGCTCAAACATATTCAGCTGCATTAAAAGCACTGATCCCCGTGTCCTTGTTGTCGGGAATTGCTTGCTTGCGTCATTTTGCTCATCTCGTAGAGGACGAGCCTCTTGGCTGATCTACTACAAATAGCTTCGACAAACACCAGCAGGTCTTTGGTCGCATTTCTTTGCCCTGGCATGTATCTATATGGTGGTTGATCAATATTCTTTCATCCTGGAATGGCCATTCATCGCGGAAAAAAAGATATCTTTCGCGGATCTTTCGCGGCCTCATGGCGAAGCATGGTCCTACAACCATGTCTAGCTGCGAGTCTAGCTAGCAGCTAACATGAGCCGGAACATCACAAAATAGGGAGACAATTGTGCCAAATAGAGTCAGGCACAGCTCAACCCAATCCTCGTGTCAGCTGCCAACACAGGGTGATGCAGCATGGGGAATGCTCGGGGGCCTCAAGCTGGGAACCTAGACTTTAGCGGCACATTCGCGAAACTTTCGCGAAATGTCACTGCTGCTTTCCCCGGGAAGCCGTAAAAATTGCAAACATCTGCACAGCCCGTCAGAGCAGCTGCAGGTCGTTGCCTCACTGTCAGGGCTGTGCCTACCCAGATTGCTAGTCTGTGACAGTGGGGACAGGAATCGGAGAATCCTTTACGCACTGCCAGGGCTGGGCACGGAAATGTTGAGGCTTCAGTTCGTTAGTCTGTGACATATGGGGACACTTCCGCCCACTGGCTCTGCCGGAGGATTGCCTTGCGTTTCTATTCTTTGTCAGTTCGGTAGAAAGGAAACCAATGAAAGCGATGACCTTCGATAAATCTTTCGCGGAAAAAAAAGATACTTTCGCGAATCTCATCGCGAATCTTTCGCGGATGGTTCTAACAACATCTGAAAGGCTGTTTTATATAATACTCCTTACACGGGGTTTTCGATCAACTCCCATATACCTTTCGTATCCTTTCGTAATACTTGCAGAACAGCTTATGGCCTGAATTTAACTGGAGACTGTCCGCGCCTGCGTAGAGATCCTCATCAAGTCTCTGCCGGGCTTTGTGCAATGCTTGCATCAGGACCTTGAGACTTTACTGCTTTTCACAAAACATCACTGTCCACTAAAGGACTCGCCACAGCAATACAGAAGCCACTATACTAAACTTCTAGAAGTGTAATGCCATATACTTGGCAGCACTGTCTCTTGCACCACTCTACAAAGGGGTCATGTTCAAAACAACAATTGTCGAAAGACAAACAGAATATAGAAACATGCCTGTGTTGGCATTGAGTGGTGATGCTCACTTTAACATGCTTCAATACTGTTCAATACCTTCAATATCCTTCAATACATACTGCACTCTCCCTGCTCACTCTGCTCTGTTCTTCGCGGTTCTGCGGTTCTGTCAGAGGTGTCGAAAAGGGCTCTAGGAGTGGAGCCTGCCGCAATCGTCCTTGCCTGAGTCGTGGAAGGACGAATGGTATTACGCTTGTTCTTTTTTGGCGGGAGGCACAGTCACTAAATGACTCTGCTGTCTAGTCGATCCATACCTTGCTGCAGCCAGCTTGCTTGTCCATAATATGTGACGCTTGAATCTGTGAAAGTTGCTCGCTGACTCTTTGTGTCTAACTTGAATCATTGAAGTCTAGTATTCTGATCAACAAGACAACCAGCCTTGGGCATTTCAGATATCAATGCTTGTAAAAGTATGTAAAGGTCCTTCAACAAAATGCTCCATTCTTGGAGCTTCACTTGGCCAAATCAGCAGGGCGTCGGAGGCCTTTCGCCTTAATGCCAAAGCCCTCTACATGTGCGAGGACGTGGAGACAAGGTGCCCAAAACAAGCGAACGTTTACACATAGTGCCTTTCAATGACCTAGTAACATGGGCATGATAGATGGAGATACCGTCTCCATGGTCTCGCTTCTTGTTACTTGTAGCGATGGCCTCCACCTAGTAGCTTCTTGCTACAGCTTTTCATGGGCTCCAAAAGCTTGGAGCTTGGCTCGATCTTCGTGCTCCAAAAGCTTGGCCACTTTCTGTGGACCCGCTTCCTGCCGATTGGAACAGGGGTGCTTCACGGGGTAGTGGAGAGCTTTACATCAACCGTTTTTGACGCCAAGTCTGTATCCTCCGAAGATTCCATTCTATGGCATTGGACTTGATTCAACGAACGAACCTCTGCCATCATGTAGCCCAAGAGCCACTGTACACAAGCGGTCTGTTCAGGATCATTTGCCTGAACATCACAATGGAAACGTGCATGATTGTCGTTCCCCCTCCGGAAACCCACCTACATGTGTTGTTTTGGCATCTAGTGTTGCATAGAATTGCAAGGAATGCTGCATTGAATCTGAAGATATCTGGCAGATTGGCATCTGTACTGGACATGGCCCAAGGCCCGAGCAACCAACATGTGGAAAATGTTGCGAGGCATCTTTGACCTCTCAGTCTCCTGAAATGTCCGCCAAGTGAGCAAATCGTCAGAAGCATGTGATTATCACGCAGTCAGGCTCCAAACACAAGCATGCAAGCTCTTAACCTACAAGCTCTGTAAACCTCTTAAGGCACATGGCATCGTCTGCCGCACCTCCGGATCAGCTTTCAAAGCCATGAGCATTTTCACGGTCACAAGCTGACCTTTCAAGGCGCTGCTATGCAGTGGGGTCAGACCTTGGCTGCCGCGTAATGAAGGAAAGTCCGTGCTTGCGGGAGAGGTTGACATAGGGGTCAAATAATGACATGTTCATTGGGCTCGATGTGGAATGGTTGGAAAAAAACATATGATCATAGTTTTCTTGCATGCTTCTCTGGCCTCTTCCTCAAACATTTGTAGAGTGGAGACGCTCGGATGCTTATTCAGAATGTACACTTGTGGCACACTGCCTTTGGATATTTGTTGACTCTCTTGGTTGTGACTGTGCAAAGAATATAGTTGGATGAAACTCTGTGAACTGATCTCAGAGCAGCCCAAATTCCAACATAGGTTGCATCTGTCAGTCGAATTGTCGAGGTGATGACTGGGACATCGTCTTGGAATTCTGATCTCACAGCTTTACTTTCCTTCTTAGGTCTGCGCCGGCATGGTTGCGAGCCTGACATGGCAAATATCAAATAAGTGACGCTCTGAGTGAACGCAAACACGAGCTACGTCGATTTGGCTAAAACATGCTAAAACTGTCGATCATTTGCAGCGTTGGAGTGAAAGTCGCCACTACGTTGACTGACTGCGAAAGTAACCGATCCGACCTGGGAAGGATACACATCGTTTTTAGATGTTTTTAGGCTTTGCTCGTCCTTCTCCGTCTGCCCACCTACACGCCCTGCGTCTCACCATTGCTTTGTCGTGTCTATTTCATGCATTGGCATGCCTCATTGGTAGTTTGGTCTGTGCACTTTCTAGTCATGGATATCCATTTGCAGGCAACCACTGAGATTATAGGTATTGTGCTGCCCGCCTGCAAAGGTACTCTGCCAGCGCGTACCAGCAAGCTGCAAATGTCAGCATGACCTGCCTTGGAGTGTCGATTGTATTCGATTGTCGTTCTGGTGCAAAACGAATCAGAATCAATTGCATTTTCCTATGACACGCACAACACCCGCTAATGTTCGAGTCATTTGACCAGCCTGCTTTGAAGTTAGTGTTAACTCGCGGACATTACTGAAATTCAACATTTGCAATCCTTGTTCCAATGCGCATTTCCTCCGCTTCATCTGCTGATTTTGTGCTGCTTCATGCCTCAGCAGCCAGGTGTAGTGGGCTGTCTCCTTAGTCATGCTCAGGCTTCGAGACATTTGGCCAACATGACGAAGCGACAAAGAGGTCTTGCCACAAGAATATCTGATGGCCAACCCTGGCCAAAGCTTGCTAGCCGCTAGCCAGTATCAGGCTTTAATTGTCAGGAAGTAATTGTCGAACAGCTACATGAGGCCATAGCCTTTCCACTTTTGGAGATCTTGCCGCTGGGGTTTCCCTGGCAAACGACAATGGTCATCCGGTCATCCCAGGAGCAAAAAAGGCCAAAGACTTTCACGAAGTGGAAGTGAGACGGTTCGTGCCTCCGCTAGAACAAGTGCACCCCATCGCAAGCAAGATCCTGCAGAAACCGCTTGCCATTTAAAGGGAGAAACTCTAAAGACTGACTATTCATTGCTAGTAGGTGGGAGGCCATCGCTGGGTTGGAGGCCATCGCTAGTAGGTTGGAGGCCATCGCTAGCAGGTTGGAGGCCATCTCTAGTAGGTTGCCTCTGCTATGATGTTGCAGCCGTTCTTTCCCGCTTCTGGGTTTTGTTTAGAGGTCATGCCCAGCTGTTGCTCATGGAGGTGTTGCCGGGCGAATCAGCATCATCAAGTTTCCCCTACAATGCTGGTCTTGAATATAAACCACGATCTCAAAGCCATAATTAAAATGTCTCTTGGAGACGCAACGTGCTGAATGACCTGACACATCTATCAGACTATCAGCCAACTATTTATTGTAGAAGCATGTTGAACGCATGTCACTCATACCCAAGAACCTTCACCCAGTCCTTAGAACTTCGATGTGACCATTTTGTGCAGCATACATCGCGGGAGTCCAGCCTGCAGGACCTTGCACTCTCGTCGTTCAATAGTCTTTGTGGGGTCAGTTCCTACGCTGGGAAAACTCCATGGCCAAGTCGATCTGCCAGTGAAGACACGATTTCACCGAAATTCATGGACATTTCATGGAAAGGAAACTCAGGTTTGCAAGGTTCTATTTGCACCGAGAAGACATAATGAAGTTCCAGTGCGCACTGAGTGGTTGCAATGCAGTCCAAGTTTGCAGCTCACATCGTCCACGCCAGCTTCCTGCAAACCAAGGATCTCATTTGTCTCATGGGCCTGGGGCACTAAGGAGCCTACCAGTAACAAGGGGCATCGCCTACTAGGAGCAAGGACGCTACTAGTAGCTCCTGGCCATACTACTAGTAGCAAGGACGCTACTAGTAACGTTCTTTCTTTAAAGGGACAACCATGGGCCACCACTACCCTTGCACGCGGAGATGCAGTGCGTGGACAAGTGAGGTACAATCCAAACCTTCCAGAAGGAACTATCTACGATTGACCATTCACCGAATGCTCATCAGATTGCAACTTTACCCTCATGTTTTTGGAGTCCACAAACAAAAGGTGAATGGACGTCCGCGCGTTGCGTACATTGCTTTGGCTTTGTCCATTTTAGGCTCCCCATCACTTTGCTCATGGAATAAGCTACTAAGAAGCAGCAACTGTCCATTGTTGTGTAGAGCTCTCCTTGAGGCTGAGCCTTAGCATTTTTAAATCGCCGCTTCTTGCTGCCTGGCAATGGCCAAAGGGGAAAAACGGCTAGGATGAAGTCCAAGATTACATCTCGTTGCATGTATTGGCCAGTACCTTCATCCGAAGATGGGCCTTTGGAATGGAAGGAGTGAAAACAGCATCAATTTCGATGCGAAGAACCTCCCAAATCGTCGTGAAGTGCTCAAGGCGCTCATCACCCCCAGGCAAGTTCCGCCGAGACCAGCCTGATCACACCAAAAGGCCGCAGTGTTTTGATGCTTTTTATCGAACTTGGATAGTTGTGTCAAGCTTAAAGATATTGAAAGGGGATGAAAGGGGGGTTTGCAAGTATTTCACACTACAATTCTCCAGCTGTGAGCACAATCAGACCGAACATTCCACCAAGAAGCGCACCTCTACTATAGAGATAAACCTCTTGTGGTCGCCGACCCTTCCAGTCTCTCATGGACTTTAACCTGTCGGCGCTGAGAAAAATGGAGGGCATTGATGAGAGTGCCTACCCTTTTGACCATTCGTCTTGGACAAATCACCGGTGTTTGCCGGCAACGCAAGGAAGTGGGTGTGGGTTGTGCAGTACGACTACTACACTGTGCTTTGTCATGACTCTATACCTGATCCACACTGCGAACTGTAGATGTCATGGTTGCTCAAAGGAATCACATCTGGCATTTGTCGCCACCAGCCTTTGTGCAAGGAACAACATGGAACAACTATGAGTCAGGTATGCCGTGCCTTCATGTGCCTTCAACCTTCAGGGGGCCTACAGTAACGCTGTTGCAGGTTTCAGCAGTTTTAGTTGTATATAGCCTAAAATGCACTACCGCTCTGTTTTGGTGGGGGGCTCTATCTGTTGTGCCATCCCTTGATCCAAGCAACCAACAAGCAGCTTACTTTGTCTTGAGACCCTGACCCACCGCCACCTGGAGACGTCTGCATCCCATCGGCAAATGAACTTCACCAGCCGGCCTGGTTTCAGTGGCAAAAGCTCTAAAACACTGCTGCCCAGCCAAGAGCAGCCCAGGCGGAAGTGGATATGGATTCTGTGTTACGGAGGGGTGGCAGGGGGTGGCAATGATCAATGTTTGTATTGAATTTTGTCTGCCACACGAATGAACCTAGACAACCGTGAGCTGCAAGTACCAGTATGGCAGTTTATTGGAGTCACAGGACGGCAGTGGTTTGACCCTCAGGAGAAACTCCATCATTCGTCATGCCTGAGTCGGGGCCATTGGCTGAGGCGATGTAGAGAGCATTCCGCTTCAACCGATCCTGTGCCAGGGAAGGATACACAGCTTTCGATGATTGTAGTAGTAAAAACGTCCGCCTGCTTGCTTGAAGCTGCTAACCATACATAGACTACTTGAGGATACTTGAGGCAACTCTAGCAGCTAGCCAGTCCTCCGCATAGCAATCCTGGGAGAAGCGACTCGATGAAAAAGACAATGAACCAGGCTGTGTCGTCATGCTACTACTTTGTCAAAAAAAAACAAAAGAACAACTTCACAAAGCCTGTCAGTTGATTCATGGATTCTAGATGCTTTGTGATGCTTTAATGTCAGAGTCAGATTATCATCCGGACAGGAACCTTGGTCGTCTCATCTTTGCATTAAAGACTCCGCACCGTGAAGCAGCAACCATGCTACTCCAGCGAGAGAACCAGCACAACAAGCAGCCAACAATGGAGGCCTGTGCGGCACTTTTTCGGAATCATCCAACTCATCCAACAGATTCAGGAGAACCCAACTGGTCAAGTGTGAAAGAGACATGGATATCCTTCGCCGCAACCTTCTACCTCATCTACCGTCGGAAGAATACGCCCTTTTGCGTGACTAAAAAGGACAAGAAACATCCAGCAGGACTCCTATATCTATTACTGAGGATTAGGCATACCTTGGTCATCTCGCTTGTCAAGGTCCAGAGCTCCCATCTGCACATGCAAGAAAGCACTGGATGAAGCACATTTATCAATACATTGTCACACACACACACACGCACGCACACACACACACACACACCAAGGCTCCCCCAAACACCAGCACTAGTCAATATGGTTCCCCTCCATGGTGGTCATAAGAACCACAGAATGATCACAAGGTAACAAGGCAACCTATTCATGGTGCCTATGTCAGCTTAATGAGCACAAAACACAGTGTGGACCCAATTGTTTGGGGATGACCCTCTGTTGAGTATATGTTGGGTAAGAATCGTTATTGGCAATTGGTAGTTACCGTCTCTACGTTGGCTTCTGCCCCGGACCGTGCCAATCAAGCCCTCGTTGAATTCATGAATTGGTATCGAGGGCTCCCTAGCAGTGTAGCCAAGTCCTGGTGCCCACGCCTCAAGCAACACTTCCAGGCATTTAATGTGACCATTGGAGCGCCAGGAAGCCACTTCCTGCAAGAGCTTCAAGTTATATGTGTGCAACAACTTTGGACTGAAAGAGGAGGTAGAACATTGCTGAATGGCCTAATGCAATGAGTCATGCTTCGCCCCCTCATTTTCCAAACATGTAGATGACATATATATATATAATACATATATATATATATGTATTTAGTTATTGTAATATATGGACACAGTTCCAAAAGTAGAGTTGGCATATGTTGGCATTCTTTTGGTGCACACACATATGATCAAATATGCACACACACACACGAACACATATGCTAGATCTAAGGCCTTCAACACGGGCCACTACACAACGATCGCCATATTTCACATTCATGTGCTGAAATAGCTCAATGACCTATGCCAAAGCTTGCTAGTGCTAGTGTGCCTCATTTCCGACAGCTGAACGAGCTGCCAGGTGAGTTGGTGTCCGTCCCATCAATGAGTTCATGCTGCTCACCTGCGACCATGGCCGGACGGGGTGATAAGCTCAAGGCTTCGGCCACGCTTTTTCGACGACCGATGGACTAGTACGATTTCATTTATACCACCTTCGACGTCTGCGACTCTCGGTGCGACTACATCGGATGATGTCTGAGCTGTCTCATGAGCGTCCGTGAACAAAAGAATAACGGTGGTGTTGATCCTCTTTGATATGGCCGCTGTACAGGGAGCCTTATTAAAGCGGCCCCAAAACATGCTTTTCCCATCTTTTCCCTCAACTTTTCTGCTTCCGAAAAACGACATTTAATAAAGGCACATGACAAAATCCACACAGCGCACAGCCATCACCTGAGGAAGATCTGCAGTCCAACAGTGGGATGGATAGCCAGGAGCCCGGCCGGCCTTCAGCTGTGACTGGATGCTGTCTGGATTGTTTAAGTGCTTTTGTGAACACTCCAAATGTGGGATCAAACACTCAAATAGCTTCTTATTGTTCCTAGCGAATCTTGTTACTACTAGTAAGGCACTTGTTTCTAGTAGCGATGCACTTGTTTCTACTAGCGAAGATTACTCATCCCGTTTGACCCAAATATGTTCCAACTCCCAGGTTCGACAGGAATGACCACGCACAGGGCTCCACAGTTGGCGTCTTTCGTCATACCCGCGGTGAGAAAATCCGCTTCATCGACCTGCACCTGCTATCATCGACCTCTTCAACGCCCCTTTTGTAGATTTCCTGAATTATTAACTTGAGCTTCAGAGGGAGGGATGCTCAGCAGTTTCATGCAGTTTCCATGTGGTCTATCAAGCAGTTGGCCAACTATGGAGTACTCAATTCCACTATGGAGCAGGGGGGTAGGAGCAAGGACGCTGACGCTACTAGGAGCAATGAGCAAAGGGCATCGCTACTAGGAGCAAGGACGCTACTAGGGGCTCCTGGCCTTACTACTAGGTACTAGGAACAATGTTTGCTCTTAGCTGCCGTTTCTTGGTGAAACTCTAAGACCAGGCGACAGGTTTCCTCCCCTCGTGCAATGCTGCTGGCAAGAAATGACAATCATCGAGTGTGAGGGCGCCACTGGGGCGGGGCGCCGAGCACCCTGCAAAGGGAGGACTGTGACTCGACCAACATGTGCTGTGGCCTTCAATCTTTGTTCAAGCCTCTCACCCAATCCTTCATCGAGCTTCGTGCGATTCTTCCCGTTGTTCATGACCAACCCCGAAGGCAAGTTTAACTTGTGGTGTGCGCGCCTTTCTTGCAGGTGGTGCCTCTGCCTCGTGCACCAGGAAGCACTAAAGAATATGATTCTACATGAGTGTGCCAGGGCTCATGTTAAATCAGAATCCATTGACTTTCTCGTATCCAAGCAAAAGCTGTCAGTAGGACATCTTTTGCCTCTGCTACAAGCCCAAGGGAGCACCAGTGTCGAGGTGACCTCAATATCAGGAAATCCCATCTTGCTGTTCCTAGGTTCCCTGATTCTCGTTCGACGAAGGTGAGCAACTACACGTGAGTTGGAGAAAGAACGCTCCTCAGGCCATCACGAACACTTCTCTCCACTGCCTTCAGTCTGGGCATCCTGGTGATGACCATCAAAGGTAATTAGGTCAAGCAAATCGCGCTGTGTGAAGTTGGAACTGTTCTGGCTTTCATGTTCATTCATTTTCTTTAGGAATGCCGTCTTACTGTCGAAACTGCAGCAGCTATTCTCCAGGTCCTTCTTTGTATATCTCTGCTTTGGCAGGTTCTCCTACAAGTGCTTCAGTTTGTTTGGCTCAGCAAGATTGCAATTTTTGCATAATGACCTCTTAAAGGGCTGGCGTGATACCATCTTCAAAGCACCCGCAAATGCTGGTCCTTCCTTTATCTTCTTACATGTACATGCACAATGCACATCATCCGTAAGTAGATTCCTGTTCATTCCTAGCTCTGCTGGATTTCTCATCGCGTCAGCAAGATTCGGATTTCGGCAAACCTTCCCAGATTCGCTATGCCACAGGCTTGGGTGCAACAGCTTGGCCTGGACAATTTTGAGAGGGTGACGCAAGGCACTGTTCCGGACAAGCTTTGCACGGTTCCAAAATGCATCTCGACTCCTTTTTTCAGTGCTGATTCTCTACTTCATGAGGTTACACGAGCGATATGAACGAGTTCTGTCCAAATTTCAACCGTTAGCCAGCATGGGCAAACTTAGATGTGTGTCGCTATTGTCCCATTAAAGAGCTTTTGCTTTTGTCAATCACTGGTCCATGGCAAATCTAGAAAAGTCTTCAACATGGATATATACTTGAAGGCTTGAAACGCACCCTTTGCCCTTTGCCTGTAGACAGCGGAAATGGTCTTAACATCGGGGTGAACTACGAACAAACTGTGGACTGGTGCCTATCATGGGTGAAGAAGCACAACCAAAACAATCCTTTGTTGATCGGCCGAAATTGTTCTGAGTATTTGAATAAAGGCAGGATATCAGAACCAAACAAACCCACGAATGCCAATGTTATATACCCCACACGTCCTTCTGTAGGTGCTTTCATGTTTACAAACCAGCACCAGCAACGGCCATCGTGCAGGAGCCTGTGACAAGAGCAGCCTCAATTCTGATGCTTTTCCAAGCGCACAGCAAAGATGCAACGGTGTCCAACCATTGGCATCTGCCACGCAGGGATCCTAGGGGTAACTCAGGCAAAAACACTTGTCGTGGTACGCGAGCTTATATAAGAATTTGAACATACAGCATACGGATCAAAACAAGTTGAATGAATGACACTGTAACTGTAACTACACGAATTGCAACAACCTTTCTGCACAAAATGACTATCAACTCAACATGGCCGTGTTGCTCCCTGCGGATTGCTTGAGGCCAAGGAAGTCAAATAGTGATGAAGGTCTGCTGGATTGCTATGTTGTCGCTGAGCATCCAACACTTTCGGGGCGATCCTGACACAAACATGCGGCACATGCACGCACATGCTGAATAACATCCACAACCGGAACTTCTGACTGGACTGGACACGTATCCATTCCATTAGTGCATCATCGCAAAGTATGCATTACATTGAAAGTACTGGTTGCAATTACGCTCTCTCTCTCTCTATATATTATATATGTGCATACTCAAGATGCAAAGGCTCATCACTGGCGGAGTCCATTCAGCAGGGCTCCTTCAAAAGCTTGGCCAACACAGCGCTCTCGCTTTGGCCTTCAAAAGCGAGCCGACCCAGTGCATCTCTTTAGTTTCAGTTTCTGTAGGTTCACAGCAGGTGCACCCTCACTGTTCTTCCACCTTTGCGTGGACTGGTACTTCTAGCAGCAACGATTCCAAGCAATCAGGTAATCATGATCAGTTGGAGATGGAGGATCCCTTCTGATTGTTTGACTTTTAATATAATACCAAGTAGTTCCCGGGCAAGCCGGCGGCGGAAGTTTCCAAAAGAATAAACCTATAGGAAATGGGACTGTGGCAGGCTGATTCGCCGAGCATCATACACCACTCATCATACATCACTACATCACTCATCATACACCACTCATCATACACCACTCATCATACACC